TAATTAGGAACTCAAGATAGAAAGAATTCACTCGCTCTCAGAAATAACATTCATATGCCACAAAAGATGCACCATAGACTTTCTCGTAGTATACTACTCTACTAATCGAGCTCATTCAGTCTAGGATCAAGTAGGACTTTAATTGGTTGTAATGTAGGCTGCGGGTCGGGTAGGATACATTTGGATATAAAAGTGACTACACCTCCCTAAGCACTTTAATACATACACTTTAATATTTTAAACCCCACACTTATGTCAAACTATAACTCCACCTTCACATCAATGTATATTAACTTCATACTTCTTTAAGCACAATTACATCAAGAGTCACCACTATCAAGGAATATTTTTCACAGCAATACAACTATGTTTTCTTTCTTTTTCAATTCAAGTGGCTCTTAATTTTTCAAAATAGTGCACCTTTATCCATATTTCATTAGTTCCACTCAAAAGCCAAACCAACCACCCCACACTTTAACTTTTACAAATTTCATTACAATTTAAGTACTCATGAGAGGTGAAAAGGTTCAAATAGATGGTTAATTCAAACAAATGGGTAAGGCTTGTAACGTGGTTGCCAAAGAAATAGGATTACAGACTCAAAGGGTTAACTACGATACATAACAACTAGTCGGGTAAAATATATATATATGGCTCAACAAAGAAACGCCTATATCACCTCCAAGACTGAACAAAACTACTATTTTGATATGTAAACACACGGGGCAAGTTCTAGACATCAAATGCAATGCACAGAATAACACACAAACCTCACACACACACATGGCACATAACTCACTCAGGATTGGACTCATCAAGACACTCTAGTCAAAGCAGTTAAGCAAAGTTAAGCTCATACAATTTACGGTACTTATACAAGAGTCAAAAACTGAGCCTAAGCGTCACAACCAAAATACTCACTATTCTCAAGGCATAACAAAGTCAAGAGATATTGCTTCAATTCAATTCATATCACAATGGCTCCTACTCCTAAAAAAATAAAACTAACTACACCCGGTTCAAATAAAACCCTTGGAAAAGAACCGCGGTACAAAGAAAAACCAAGGGGGAATTGCTATACTACCTACAAAGAAAATCTTTTTGTCCTTTTTATTTAAACTTAAATCCCTCAAGAAAATTGTTTAGGAGATCCATCGTCAGGAAAAGTCCAATTTTTCAATTATTGTTTTTCGATTTTTCTTAGGAGCTACTAAAATACTACACAACTACGAAAACAAAAATAAGAAGTTAACATTTTTCTAACACACTACTACTAATAGAGAAATTCTCCCACCCCACACTTAAAGGAGTGCAGTGTCTCCAATGCACAAATAAAGCAAAACAATAACGAGGGTGGACAAGAAACTCCCTAAATGGCCAAAGGCCGAAGCAATAGCGGCTCACGGGGTACTCAGACTTCCCCCAGGCATGGTCCTTTGTGTGGGCACCCCACACTTAGTTCTCACCATCTATATCTCTTTTGCACTCTTCCAATGACCTTGCTTCCTACTTATAATCCTACAAAACAAAAACAGACACTACAACAATAATAAGATAAAAGTAAAAATAAAAGAAAGCAGTAAAGCTGGGTTGCCTCCCAACAAGTGCCTGATTTAACGTCGCAGCACGACACAAAATCTCATCTAATCATTGGCAAGTAACACCTTCGACTTCTGGCAATCAAAGTCACCTCCATAATAATGCTTTACTCTTTGTCCGTTCACTAAGAATGTTCTCTCGCCACCTAAGACGCGCAACTCAATTGCACCATGTGGAGTGACTCTCACTACCTCAAACTGGCCCGACCATCTCGATTTGAGCTTCCCCAGAAAGAATCTCAACCTCTAATTGAATAAGAGAACCAATTGGCCCGGTTCAAACTTGTGATGGTGGATATGCTTATCATGCCAGCGCTTGGTCTTTTCTTTATATAACTTGGCATTCTCATATGCGTGCAAGCGAAACTAATCAAGCTCGTTCAATTGCATCAACCGCTTTCTACCCGCTAATTCTGCATTAAAGTTCAGCTTCTTTATCGCCCAATAGGCCTTGTGCTCAAGTTCCACCGGTAAATGGCATGCTTTCTCATAAACTAGCTTGTAAGGAGAGGTTCCGATTGGAGTTTTATAGGCGGTCCGATATGCCCATAGAGCATCATCAAGCTTTGCATCCCAATCTTTCCTACTTGCACTAATCGTCTTCTCCAGAATCTACTTTATCTCTCTATTTGAGACTTCAACACTAGTCTGAGGATGGTAATCGGTTGCAACCTTATATTTTGACCCGTATTTCGCTAAGACATTGTCCAATAGCTTGTTACAGAAATGGGTGCCCCCATCACTTATCATCACTCTCGGAGTGCTGAACCTTGTAAAGATATGTTTTTTCACAAAGTTGACCACAACCTTGGCATCATTGGTAGGAAGAGCGATGGCCTTCACCCACTTCGACACATAGTCAACGGCCACCAAAATATACTTACACCCACTGGACGAGGGAAACGGACCCATAAAATCAATTCCCCACACATCAAATATTTCAACCTCCATAATACCGTGCAATGGCATCTCATGCCTTTTCATAATTATTCTTGTTCTCTAGAACCTATCACATCTCCTCACGAACTCATGGGTGTATTTAAACACCCTAGGCCAATAAAAACCCGATTGCAACACCTTAGTTGCTATTTTGTCACCCGCATGATGACCGCCATAAGGCGACGCATGACAGCCATGTAAGATAGCATTTATTTCAGATTCGGGCACACATCTTCTCATTAACTGATCCGTACAAGATTTGAATAGAAATGACTCATCCCACACATATGATCTCACATCTTGCAAAAACTTCTTTTTAGCATAAGGTTCAAGATTAGGCGGCATTTCTCCACTTGCCAGATAGTTTACAAAATGTGCATACCATGGCACCTCCCCAGCAGTAACGGCCAACAATTGCTCATCTGGGAAGGTTTCCTTGATGACATCTCCCTCAGCTACATGATTCAAAGTTTCTAACCTGGATAAGTGATCAGCCACTTGATTTTCTGTTCCTTTACGGTCTCGGATCTCCAAGTCAAATTCTTGCAAGAGTAAAACCCAACGGATTAGCCTTGGTTTAGCATCTTTCTTTTCGAACAAATACCTGATGGCTGCATGGTCTGTGTAGACGATGACTTTGGTGCCAACCAAATAGGCCTGAAATTTATCGAACGCCCACAATACAGCAAGCAACTTCTTTTCTATCACAGTATAATTTATTTGAACAAGAGTGAGAGTCTTGCTTTCGTAGTAAATGGAGTGAAATATTTTGCTCCTCCTGTGGCCCAATACGGCCCTAATTGCACCATCACTAGTGTCACACATCAGCTTAAATGGCTCGTTCCAGTCATGAGCTACTATGATTGGTGCACTCACTAACTTCTTTTTCAGCACCTCGAATACTTTTAGACAAGCATCGTCAAACTTGAATGCCACATCCTTCTCTAACAACCTGCACAAAGGAGAGGAAATTTTTGAGAAATCCTGTATAAATCGGCGATAAAAACCTGCATGTCCCAGAAAACTCCTAACTCCTTTCACTAAAATCGGTGGTGGCAACTTTTCAATTGCTCCCACCTTAGCCTTGTCAACTTCCAGTCCATCTTTGGACACCTTGTGTCCCAGCACTATACCTTCACGTACCATAAAATGACACTTTTTCCAATTCAGTACCAGATTAGTATCCTCACACCTAGCAAGCACTTTAGCAAGATTGGTCAAGCATTCATCAGAAGAAGAACCAAACACAGAAAAATCATCCATAAAGACCTCCACAAACTGTTCCACCATATCGGTGAAAATAGCCATCATACACCTTTGAAAAGTCGCAAGTGCATTACACAACCCGAATGACATTCTCTTAAATGCATACCATAAAGGCATGTAAAAGTGGCCTTTTCTTCATCTTCCGGGGCACTAGCAATCTGATTATACCCCGAATAGCCATCAAGGAAACAATAGTATTCCTGTCCGGCTAATCTGTCATGCATTTGATCTATGAAGGGGAGAGGGAAATGATCTTTTCGTGTAGCATTATTCAACTTCCTATAATCTATGCATATTCGCCAACCAGTCACAGTCCTAGTTGGGATTAATTCATTTTGTTCATTCACTACAACAGTCATACCCCCTTTTTAGGTACACATTGAATAAGGCTTACCCACTTACTATCAGAGATAGGAAATACTATACCTGTGTCGAGCCACTTAATCACTTATTTTCTTACCACCTCTTTCATGATTGGATTTAGGCGGCGTTGATATTCCACGCTAGGCTTGTGTCCCTTCTCCATGAGTATTTTGTGCATGCAGAATGCAGGGCTAATACCCCTTATGTCAGACATTGTCCAACCAATGGCATGCTTGTACTCCCTCAGCACCCTTAAGAGCTTTTCTTCCTGCAATTTAGACAAATGAGAAGAAACAATCACATGTAAAGTGTTTCAACTTCCCAAATATGCATAATGAAGATGAGATGGTAAGGGTTTAAGTTCCAATTTTGGGGCCTCCTCAACTGAGGGTTTAGGGGGTGGGCCGATTGGCCTATCCAGAGGCTCAAATTGGTATCTTTCTCTTCTGTGTTCGCAAGATGCATCCAAAATTTGCAACATCTCCTCAACTTCTTCTTCAAGTTCCAAGTGATTGAACAACATCAATGCCTTTTCTAATGCATCTTCTTTAAACGCACTTGGCTCTACAGCTGGTTCATTTATCTCCACCATAGAAATCATGGACAGGTCCCCGTAATGACGAGGCAACTGAATGGCTCGATATACATTGAAGACTGCTTCTTCATTGTCCATCCTCAGGATCATCTTACCTTCTCGAACTTTGATAATTGCATCTCTAGTGGCCAAGAGAGGTCATCCCAAGATGATAGGAACTAACTCATCAGCCTCGTAGTCCAGCATGATAAAATCTGCAAGGAAAATAAACTTTCCAATATGCAGCAAGACGTCCTCAATTACCCCCCAGGATAAACATATGATCTATCAGCTAACTGTAGAATCACTGTGGTGGGTATCAGAACTTCTAAGCCCAATTGTTTGAACACTGACAAAAACATCATATTGATACTTGCACCCAAATCACACAAGGCTCTACCCACATTAATTTCACCAATCCTCACGGGGATGATAAAACTACCCGGATCCTTAAGCTTTTGTGGAAGCTTATGTTGAATCCTGGAAGTGCACTCCTCAGTAAGTGCAATGGTCTCAAACTCAGTTAACCTCCTTTTATTTGCCACTATATCCTTAATATATTTTGTATATTTTGGTACCTCACGGAGCATGTCCACCAAAAGGATGTTCAAGTGTATCTGCTTCAGCATATCTAGGAATTTGTGAAACATGTGGTCTTCATTCTTGTTTCTCAATCTTTGAGGAAAAGGGGTTGGCATCCTCTCTGATATTTTCTTAGACTCTGTTTTGTTTCTCTTATCTACCTCTACAGGTTTTGGCAATCTTTCTTNAGGGGTGGCACCCTCTCTGATATTTGCTCAGACTTTGTTTTGTTTCTCTCATATACCTCTACAGGTTTTGGCACTCTTTCTTCTTCAAGCCCAGACTGCTCCTTTTTCTTCTTAGGCACTTGTACCAACTCTCTCCCATTTCTCAACGTCACTGCATTGACTTTAGGATTTTTCTCTATATCACTTGTGAGAGCTCCAGCAGGTCTAATATTCTGATTGTTAGCCATTTGCCCAAACTGCCTCTCTAGATTTCTGAACTCTGTGCGCAATTATTGATTCTCAGCCATAACTTTCTGATTGTCTAGCAAGAGCTTTTTCATCATGTCAGTCAAACTCTCTTCTGCTTGCTGTGGGGGTTTAGGTGGCTGATTATAATTAGCTTGAGGCCTGATATTCTGATTGCCACCCCAAGAGAAGTTAGGGTGATTCCTCCAGTTCGGATTGTATGTGTTACCATATTGAGCATTTTGATTCATCAGCCCTCTAGCTTGCTGCCCCACATAGTAGATGAATTAAGGATTCACGGGGCATATGTCACTTGTGTGATCTTCATCACATAACTCGCAGCAAGTAGACATCTGTTGCACATGCTGCATCTGTTGTGCTTGGTGCATTGTTATTTTATTCTTCTGATTTGGTAATCTCACTATATCTGCCCTCATGGTTGAGAAATCATCAAGCTCGATCACACATGCTGCCTTTTGTTTAAGTGCTCTTCGTGGTTCCCCATCTCCTTGCCAATTATTATCATTAGCAGTGAAATTGTTTAGCAGGATCTGGATCTCACTATACGGTCTTGCCATGCAACTATCCCCACATGCTTAGTCAAGATTCATCTTTGATGCCTCGTCCAACTTATCAATGAAAGTGTGACCCAACACCTCTTCAGTCTGACAATGATATGGGCAGTCTCTGAGTAGCTTCTTGTATCTTTCCCAATCATGTCGAAGAGTCTCACCATCTCGTTGTTGAGACCCAAGAATCCGACTCCTCAGCGACTTTGTCTTCTTAGTGGGAAAAAACTTGATTTAGAATTTCCTTGCTAGATCATCCCAATTGTGGATTGAGTTCGCGGGCTCCTTTTGTAACCATTCCTTAGCTTCCCCTAGCAGTGAAAAGGGAAACAGTGCCAACCTGACATAGTCCTTGGAAACGTTCGGATAATTGTAAGTGTCCGTAATTTCCAGGAAGTTCTGAATGTGCCTCTATGGGTCTTTATGAGATAGATCCACATATTGCCCTGTGGACTAAATCAGCTGTACCATGTACTGTTTGAGTTCAAAGTGACCCGTGATATCATGATTCACAATCGCCTAAGTCATATTGGCAAGATTGGGCCTTGCAGCTTCTATCACCGGACGCTCTTCATTACCTGCCATCTCTATTGGCTGTGGTTGAACTACGATGTCCAACTCTCTTTCAATTCTAGTTCTAGCTTCGACTTCCCTCCCCACTATGTGAAGTGTTCATTCGATTTCAGGATCAAGAGGAAGGAGATTGTTTGCGCTTCTACTCCTCCACATTCAAGAGAAGAGCCTGTGTTATCACAAATAAAGAAAACTAACAATTAAAACTTGAACAAATAATGAATAAAAGCTTAACTTAAATAAACAATCAATAACTAAGTCCCCGACAACGACGCCAAAAAACTGGTTGGTTTCCCAAGTATACGCAAGTATACATGGACATCAAGAAATAAAGTGACTCGAAAGTCGGATGTCAAACCCAAAGAGACTTAGATGAATTGTTAACTAAGAAAACTAAAATCAGTTAATTGTCCAAGATAATCAAGAGTGATGTTTTTCTATTAATCTACTATTACGGAAATTAAACAAGTAACAACTAATTTATTAAGAGTGCAAATGTGTATGATGAGATTTTAATTCTGAAGAGATGAAAATTCCAGGGTTGTGGTCGGTTTATCAATCCTATTAAATTCAATAATCACACTTGTTAATCCAGATTATCTATGGTTGCTAATTAACCAGATCGTTTATATGAATAGCATGTTCCCACAATACTACTCGCTTGCCTATAATATATCAATCCTATATTCCTATGGTATTGAGTCTATCATGAACGAATATAATACAGTATTCAACTAAGCAAGATTGTTAGGTATATTCCTATTCTAACCGCGAAATCCTTCCCCGAGCCACGGGTTCAGAAACAAGCTCTCTTTAATTCTACTCTAATCTAAATACGGCTTTCCCAAGCATAGTATAGATAGTAGAGTGAATTGGTAGCTACAACAATTCACAAGTTGATACTAGAATTAAAGAAAGAACCACAAGATTGTCACGCCCCAAACTCAGGGAGCGCGACCGGTGCTCAACCGAGTAAACCCAGTCGAGCAAGCCTAATTTACATTAACCTCTCATCATTACTCATGAATGATTTACCATAAAATAATTAGATCTTAACTTTCATATTGAATACATTTGGCTCAATGACCCATAATTTCTTTCTCATGATGGTTACACAGCTTTATAAATGGATGTAAATAATGTGAACATAAATACATGACAAAACTCAAATCTTTAATTACATGACCCACAGTGTACATGGAGCTTCTATGATGATAGATACCTAAATACATAAAATGAACTAGACCCAAACACCCACTAGAATTGTAGAGGGCTCACCATAAGCTGAGTAGTGAAGAAGGTCCCTATCAAAGATCCATATCATCTTGTAGAAGTATACCTGCATCCATTAAAAGATGCAGCGCCCCCGGCAAAAGGGACGTGAGTACATGTGGAATAGTACTCGTATGTAAGGCAGTCAAAACAACATATGTATTACCTTATGAAGTCTCGTATGAATTTGTTGTAGTATAAGAAAAGGAATCTTAGCAAATCTCATCTGATCCCTTGTCAAGCTCAAATCTTCAACTATGGAAAGATTCCTCCACCATCTTCATACGTGTTTGAGATCATGTTTGTGCGTGGCTTGAATTATATAGAAGTTAAGTTTTGCCAACTTCAGCAACATTGGATTTGTGTCGTTGCATAACATCTGAAGCTTTCCATTGTTTTGTAGAGATACAAAATGAATTTGAATGGCTTTTAAGTCTTTAGGAGTGGCCCCCACAGTTTTGATGACTTAGCCAACAATCTTTCTTCATGTGACACCTTATAACATGGACTTTAAGAGTCATAAGTTGGCTGCCACGTTTAAGGATTTGGCCTTAATTAATCACCCACTAATTCTTAATTAACTTGTTAATTCCCCCATTAATCAATAATTAATCAATTATCCACATAATTAAGAATTATCTCAAATTACTTAAAATACTACTCACTTTTAACACACTTCATATATACCTTACTAACATGGTCATGTGGTACCTTGTATGACACTAGTCCATAAATACGAGGTATTGTAGCTTGGACCGTATTTTATCTCAAAATGTCAAACTTCGACGAAATTCATTTTTTTTGATTTGCTTACCCTCTCACCTTCACGAATTTATTCATCACTTATTTGAAATAGCATAATGCTTATAATCTCAAAATAATCTCATTTCTGAGCTTCCATCAATTTATTTATGAAGTACTTTCACGTACGAAAACATGAGGTGGAACAAGAATGGTCTGGTTAGTGTATATAGGGTTATTTTCGTCTCCATGAATGATCACCTCCTGATGATTCCACTAGAACTTCACAACCTAGTGCATATTAAAAGCCACTGTCTCAGCTGCATGTATCCATGGTCGTCCCAACAATAGGTTGTAAGTGGGAGATATATCTAGCACTTGGAATTCGACATCAAACAAGGTCGGGCCCATCTATAGATCAAGGTTGATTTCTCCGATAGTGGCTCTCTAAGATCCATCGAATGCTTTCTCATTCATGCTTCCCATCTGTATCTCATACAGGCCTTTACCTAATTTTTTCAGAGTGGTCAGCGGGCATATGTTCAGGCTCGAACCTCCATCTATCAGGAACCTGGCAATGAACTTGTCTTCAAATTGCACAGTGATGTGTAATGCCTTGTTGTGGCTCAACCCCTCTGGTGGTAACTCATCTTCGTGGAAAGTAATTTTATGACTTTCCAGTACCTGCCCGACCATGTTAGCCATCTCTCCGCTAGTGATAGCGACGGGTACATAAGTTTCATTCAATACCTTTATCAAGGCATTCTTGTGTCTGAATTTTGCAATTATGACAAAATGGATATCTGGGCGGGAGTCTTGTTCAGGTGATCAACAACAGAGTATTCTCTCACTTGTACCTTCCGCTAGAGATCATCTGCACTTGTTTCAATGACAGGTGGATTAGATACAACTTTTTTTCTTGTTCCTCCAAGATTCTCAGGTGTGTAAACTCTGCCAGTTCTAGTCATACCTTGTGCAACACCTGTCTTTTCCATCATGGCCTTTCCCTTTCTTCTTTCCTCTGCAACATAATCCCATGGGACGACATCAGACTTATATAATGGTGTGGGAGTTACCATCACGGTGCAGGGCATAGCTACCTCGACCTCAAATGGTGCCTAAATTTGTACCACAATCGGCGACAAGGTAACAGGAGATGTCTTGGGAGTATTCCTCTCTCGAATAAGTCCAATGGATCCCTCATGATCCCATCCCTCATCAGTTTTTATAACTTCACTCCCTTACCTCCTATGATCCATGAGAGGGTTATTACGGACATTTGGTGCGGCTTCCTTTGCCTATATAACCTTGGTGTCGATCAGTGCCTGAATCTTGTCCTTTAACATGCGGCACTCCTCAATGGTATGACCCTTTATGACTGAGTGATAGGCACAAGTTTTGTTGGGGTTAACCCACTGAGAAGGTTTCTCAATAACAACAGCAGGAATAGGGGTAATGTAACCAGCGACCTTCAGTCTCTCATATAGTTGGGCTATGGGCTCAGCGATTTGGGTGTATTGTATGGGAGCTCTGCGGTCAAAGTTTGGGCTTGGATTTGGGTAGTTTTGGCGGGCAGGTGGAGGTGAATGATAATATGCAAGTTGAGTGTTATAGGTGTGGTAGGTGGTGGTAGGGTAATAGTATTTTGGAGGTGAGGATTGATATGTGGGTGGAGGTGTTTGGTATGTAAGGGGAGACTTAAGGCCCTGGGCTACCATCACGACACCCACTTCTTTCTTCTTCGAGATACCTCCTGATTGCAAGGCTTTGTTTGTGGCTTGTAGTGCCTTGAAATTGGTCACCATTCCATTCTTGATTCCTTCTTCCATCCTTTCTCCTAACTTGAT